GTTTTTTTTTTTTTTTTTCAGAGCACATAAGATCACATAATGTTATAATTTGTTTGTGGACATATTACATAATAATAATAATAATAATAATAATATGTAACATTCCTAGTGGATCAGTAAAACTATCACCATAGAAACATCAAAGTGTTAGAATCTTTGTTTTCGGATTTAAAAATATGGATTCAGTATATATTGGTAGAACAATATCTTATCAGTTATCAGCCAGTGTTATGTTTTAAAGTTTTGTCCCTGAATTTAGATGTTATTGTTTTTATATAATTTTATTGATTTATTTTTATTGAATTATTTAGACAAAAATATCATCCATTTATTCATTGTGCTCAAAATAAACCAAGTAATGACAAACCAGTAATAGTCTGATTGATTTTGTAAGTCTTCTAAGCATTATTATATTGCTCACAGATTGTGAAGATAACAGGGAAAGTGGTTGTGGGCCATGCCATCCATAATGACTTCAAGGTCTTAAAATATTTCCATCCTGCTTGCCAAACACGAGATACAGCACGGATTCCGCTGCTAAACCAGAAAGCTGGACTGCCTGTGAATGAAATGGTGTCTCTGAAGAGACTCACTAAAGCTATTCTCAAAAAGGACATACAGGTGGGTTTAACTCAGCACAAAACATTGTAACGTCTCAGCGGATGTCAGTTTCACCTGTGCCACACAGATCACATTGCTTAGAGGAGTTCAGCTGTCAGACATTGAAGACAGGGTATATCTGGAGTCAGTTCAAAGCAGCTCTTGGATCCTAGGATTGAGAGAGGACGAGTCAGACTATTTTTATAAAGAACATAAAGACGGGCTTGGCTTTTAATTTTTTTTCCACTGAAAAACTCTCTCTCTTCTTATATTTTCAGACAGGGAAGGGAGGCCACTCATCAGTAGAAGATGCCAAAGCCACCATGGAACTGTTCAAAGTAGTGGAAAGCATGTGGGAGCAAAAACTCTCAGCTCTCAGCCTTTCAGCTAAAGCCGTGGATCTAGCTCTGAATCAAAAAAAAGTAAAAGCTTTTTAAAGATAGGATTTTTACTTCCCGCCTTTTTTATCAGCTAAACATCTCAGCTATGCTTGGGTTTAAATACCACTAGGGGGCTCTTCAGTTTCTGTAAAAAAAAAAAGTATTTTAAGTTAACTATATTGGTTTTGTTGGCTGTTTAAAGCAAATAATTGGACATCATGATAAACTGTCCACATGATGTTTTGAGTTCTGTTCAGAATCTTTACAGAAAGTAAAAAAAAAAAGAAAAAGAAAAAGCTCTCACTGCTCTCCTGTCTTCCTGCTGTCTGTCTTTCTGATGTCTGACGAACAGGACGAGTCAGCATTCCTCTGCTACTCTGAATTCAACACCACCACATGAATTAAAGCTCCTCCTGTATTTAACTGTCCAAATGAACAGGGCCTCAACTGCTATCCTTGAGATTACAGTCAAAGCTATTTTCCTTCCAAACCCACTCAATCATCAGTCAGTCTGTTTTTAAGAGGTCGGTCGCACCACTTTGGTGATGTTTGGGAAGCAGCTGGATGTTCCTTGCCCACCAGTTTCCCAGCAGTTGAACAAGCTCATGATGGACTGATTTTTAGCCTTATTTGGGATTCTCTTTTGCAGAAAGGTTCAACCTAACATACTGTAGAACACAGTCTGATACTTGCATTACATACAGTAATCTCACTTTTCATAGATCATTTAGGCCCACACATTTAGAATGGCTGTAAAAATCTTTAGTGCAGTCCTAAAGGGCTCACTGGTGACTACTGTTATATTATCCATGAGGTTTGCCTCAGCCTTATTCTACAGAATGGGTGTTTTTGGCATAGTGCCAAATGTGTAATTTTTCTTGTTTACCTCTATCATACCAATGTTAAGTTTGATTGTGACACCACATTAAAAAATATTAATGTATATTAATATATTAATGTATATAATATATTTTAACATGTAATTGATATTTTAGAGTATTAAACATATATATATATATATATATATATATATATAGTGTCACATGATTCTTCAGAATCATTCTTATATGTTGATTTGCTGCTCAAGAAACATTTTTCATTCATATAATTTTGAATTTAATATTTTGAAAATATTTTTTTCTTATATTTTTGTGAAAACTGACGTCACATGATTCTTCAGAAATCATTGTAATATGCAGATTTGCTGCTCAAGATTTCTTCAAAACAGCTGCTCAAGATTTTTATGGAACCTTGATCATTTTTTAAGGATTCTTTGAATAGAAAAAAACAGCATTTAATTGAAATATAAACATTGTTTACAGTCACTTTTAATCAATTTAATTGATATATTAAATATGAAATTTCTCTTTAAATTTTCACATTTTTAATGACTTGGTAAATCTGGGAAGAAATTATGAAATTGCAATACTTTAAAGGTTTTATTATTAGTATTTGCAATGTCTGTATAAATTATCATTTTGCAACATTTATTAATCTTGGCTAATATTAATTTCTAGTACATGTACTAATGCATTAACATTTCAAGTTTTATAAATAATCATTATGTGTTATGAATTAATATGAATTTTCATTTATAAAATAAGTATTATACACAAAGAAACATTCAATATTTAATATGCATAATATATAATATCAATAAATGCTGTAAATTGTTCATTGTTATTTATGATACCTATTGCATTCACTAATGTTAGTAATTTTAAAGTGTTCCTGATGAAATTGGGGTTAATAGGATGTGCTGTAGCGAGAAGGCAGTCAGTGACTTCATACTTTCCCACTTGTGGCTTGGCTGTGGATGGTAGTAATGTCTGTAAAACGGATCAAGTTTTAAAATCCTCAATGGCTGGCAGGCAGTGGTAATCTTGTGGTACAGAAAGAGGTACCCTTGCTTATTACTAAAGGATTACCATAATGCCAGAGCCAATAAATAATGCACTGTTGTTTTATTGTCTGGTCTAAGGCATATAGTTACTTACTAAAGGATTACCATAATGTAAGATCAAATAAATAATGCACTGTAGTTTTTATGCATATAGTAATTTTCTGTAGATGTTCAGAGTGATATTACCTGATTTCTCATCTTCAGCATAGACAGCTGTGTTGATATGGTAAATTCCTCTTGTGTTGAAGAATATGTGATGTACAAAACCATATTCACCCTCCTCTCTCTCTGTGTGCAAACTATCATTTGCTTCTGTCATCCAGCCTCTCATCTATGAAAGTTTGCTACTGTTTTAACAGGAGGCCAGACTCTGGTCTGTTGTGTCCACATGCGGTTACATTCGCAGACATGACTCACAAATGGATCAGATTCAAACTTACAGATGAGAATCAGCAGTGACTCGTGCCTCAAAACCATTTCAAACTGGTTCTTTCTCTGAATAAGCAGCTGTCTCATCATTACTGAAAGATCTAGTTATTAAAGCTCACCAACAGCGAGTCACGGAAGGTATACGCACATACCCTGCTATACAGATGTGATATAGAGTTGCGCTGGTCCAGATTCATTTTCATCATAGCATTATTTAGTCATGACAGTGTTTACTATCTTAATATGCTTGCAGAAATGGATGCTTACATAACTTTTTAATACTCATTTACAATGTTGTTGTGGCCTAGCAATTGAGTGAACCAAAGCATTCAAGAGCCCTTGGACTCTTGCTCAATGCAAAGTTGATCCTTGCCTTAAATAGCAATTCTAACTCTGAACAATGGGTACATTCAGAGAGAGTGAAAGTTTCCTCAAGATGTTTATTCATGTAACAAAAAGATTACCCTAGAACAATACTATGCGAGAAACTTGTTTGTTATTTGTTATTTCTGGAACAAACCTTAAGACAACCCAAAAATGGAAGTTTTTGGACACATTTTGTTAAAGAAATAATTCACCCAAAAATGAAAGTTGCTGAAAATTTACTCACCCTTAGGCCATTATTTGTTTATTATAAACATTCAGCTTTTCACCTCACAAGATGTTAATCGAGTAACTGGAGTCGTGTGGATTACTTGTGAATTATTGTGACATTTTTATCAGTTGTTTGGATTCTCATTCTGACGGCACCCATTCCCCTGCAGATCCATTGGTGAGCAAGTGATGTAATGCTAAATTTCTCCAACTATGTTCAGATGAAGAAACAAACTCATCTACATCTTGGATGACCTCAGGGTGAGTACATTTTCAGCAAATTTTATTTTTTGGGGGAACCATTCCTTTAATTCAGAACTAAAATTATGCAATTGTGCAACACTCTTAAAAATAAAGGTTCAAAAAGGGAGTTCTCACAGCGATGTCATGCATAGAAGAACCAGTTTTAGTTCCCCAAAGAAGCTTTCAGTGAACAGTTCTTAGAAGAACCATTTTTTCTTAGTGTGAATAACATTTTAATAATCTAAAGAACCTTTTACCACTGTAAATAACCTTTTGTGGATTGAAAAGGTTCCATGGTAAAGTTTCTTTTTTGAAATTTTGATTTGATGCCAAAAGAACCTTTATTTTTAAAAGTTAATGTTGATCATGGAAATGTTCATTTTAAACAAAACTAACACCACTCAATCATGTCTCACATAATTATGTTTAGAATTAATTTATGAGATACGATTCATTTGAATCATTTTACAGTCTGTAGTACACTTTTATTGTGTGTGTGTTTTACTCATTTGTCAATTTGATCTTTGTTTTACCATAAAGACATTGCAGCTGTCTTCACCTCGACAGGGTTTAATCCTTTAATGCCTTGACAGAATCAACAAATGTCGGTCAAGATAACAGTTTCCCAATTATGATCCAGAAATGAACCAAAACGACGCATGGAGCTAAGCCAAATACATCGCTCTTTTTTTGTTCTTTTAAGCATGGCAAGCATAAAACCTGCATGATTCTCGCGAGTGCTCGTATCAAATCGATTCTCAGTCACTTGTCATTTTGAAGCAGTATTACGCGCGTTACCTATTCTGGGTTTACTTTACTCAGGGTTTACTGGGTTTACCGTTTTTTATAGGACAATAACAGGACAACGAGCAACATTTCAGGTGTGTATGATACTCTATTAATATCGTGTCCTCTCTCTCTCTCTCTCTCTCTCTCTCTCTCTCTCAGTTCATTCTAATTTAGGACATTTTAACTTTTCCTCCGTTCCTTCCCACTTTTTTCATTGTGCCAGGGACAAATAGGAAAATGAACCACCCTGTTGGTTAAAGAGAGTGGGTTGATCGCAGATCGTTCCTGCTCCTTTATTCCTCCGCTCTCTGTCATCCTCTCTCTCTTTCTTCTCCTCCTCTGGACGAGCTCACAGCATCCATCATCTCCAGCCTGCACTCTATGAGACTCTATACAATCCTTCATCTGCACGGGGGCTTTTCAAGAAGAATCCAAGAGAAATGAGGTATGTGACTTTAAATGCATTTAAATTGCCTATAATGATTCTGTAAAAGTAGTTGCAACTTAGCAAATTTATTTCATGGCTTTTGGATTTTGACTTTTTGGGCATAATTTTTAGGGTTAGTGAATTCTGCTTATGCAGAACATTTTCTGCCCTGTACATTTTTAAGTTTCAGAGCTCAATATGCATGTTGCATCAGCCCTTGTGAATTGGTACAGACTATTATGCAGAGCACTATTAAGATTATTATTATAACAACATTTAATAATTGTTCTTGGAAAAACTGTGTCTTAGTCACCAGTACATAATATTCGAATGAACTGGAGAATAAAACGTTTTTGTGAAACTAAAAAGGCTCTCCTTTGGCATCAGGCTGCAGAAATCATTTTTATTTATATTTATTTGTTTGTTTGTTTATTTATTTTGGCTGCAAATGGTTCTTTGGAGATTAAAAAGTTCTTAATCTTACATTACAGGCTTTTCAGATCAGTCTATTTGCAACTGGATTTTTAAAGCACTGGCACATTATTTTTTCTAAGCAACTGGAGCATAAAATTGTTTTTTTTTAATTTTTTTTATGAAACTAAAAAGGTTCTATTATGACATCAGGCATCAGACTGTAAAGCCCTTTTCATGTGGATCTGTTATTGCTGAGAGCATATCTATTCTTGGATCCTTGTACTGAGAATTAATTTTAGAATTTGTTTAGAATGCATTTGAAAGGTTGTCAGTGTTGGATGGTGCATAAGTGCTTTACACAGCCTGAGCCTTCAAAGAGAAGACACCTGTTCTTGACATTTCTAAATGAAAGCGTGTTCTATATGCATGAGCAGAAACTGAGACTGCATTTGAATTTGCAGCAAGCTTAGCAAACACTCAACCTGTAATCATTTATTTTTATCTCCATTACCTAAATATGCAATTAATGCACAAAAATGGCCAGTTATTTAACTCTGAAAATAATACTTTTTTATTATTACTGAGTATTGAAAAGGCTTGCTAATGTAAGAACCAAACACCAGTTCAATTCCAGGATCTATTCTTGCACTTGTGTTGGAATTGAATTGGTGAAAAAATAAAATAATATTAGTGTGCTGAGTTTAGCTCTTCTTAATATTGCACCTGAGACTAAAGGCTTTGCCGACACAAATATTAGAGGTTTTTGAGCAAGCGAGGAAAAGACACCTGCAACACACCTGCTGGATGATTTTGCTTTGTGGTACAAACTAAGCAGAAATCCAGGTGCCAAATGTAGCATGAGAGACATGATTCATGAATACCTGTTTGGTCTACATCTGCAGTTATTCCAGTGCTTATGTGAGTCAACTTAATTCTATTGAGACATTGAGTGTTAATGTCTGCAGTGTGTTTTCAGCTGTAAAATTGCAACACTTTATTGGCTGCATAGTGCCACATCAAACATTCATCTTCACAGTGGCTAAGCTTGTTTCTAAACCCATCGCTCAAATAGGTGTAGCAGAGCAGAAGTAAGTTGATGTATGAGTGTTTTTCAAGCAGTTATAAGATAAAGATCCTTCATATCATCTGACAGATTAAGTTAAACTGATATGAGGCATCCACACATCTTCTTATCCACTGCTGCTTTTCTTTAGAGATGCCTTCACTCATATTTAGTAGCTGTTGTGGAATAAAAGAAACTATTTGGTCATTTCCTCTCAGATTAATTAGGTGTCTTTTCTTTAAATCACCACTGCCAAAATACTTGCACGAACCCCTGCAGGACACATCTGACCTAATTTAACTGTACAGCAGTCATGTCCAGTCCTGATCACCTTAGTGTGAAGAGTAAAGGGTCTCTCATGATCAATTTAATACTTAATACCAAAGAATTGGCTGCATTAAATCAAAAAGTCAACAAGATCAATAGTAACAGTGAAGATAATTTATAATGTAATAATTTCTATTTCATATAAATGCAATTTTTTAAAATGTTCTATTCCTTAAATAATCCTGAAAAAAAGTATCACGATTTCCAGAAGAAGAAAAAAATTAAGCAGCACAACTATTTTCATCATTGATAATAATAAGAAATGTTTTAAGTACCAGCATATTTGTGGTACAAGGATTATGTGACAATGAAGACTTAAATTATACTGGTTCTGAAAATTCAGCATTGTCATCACAGGAATAAAATAAAAAAATAATAAAATGTTACAATACATTAAAATAGAAAACATTACTTTTAAATTGTAATAACATTTCACAATATTATTGTTTTACTGTATTGTTATCAAATAAATGCAGCCTTAGTGAGCATTCTTTTTTTATTTTTTATTTAACGACCCTAAACATTTGAACAGTAGTATGCTCCATTTATTTTTTTATTATTTCATTAAATGAATAGTTCACCCAAAAATGACAATTTTGTTATCATTTACTCACCCTCATGTTGTTCCAAACCTGTTTAAGTTTCTTTCTTATGCTGAACACAAAATAAGATATTCTGAAGAATTTTGAAGAACCAAACAGTTGTTGGTCCCAAATGACTTCCATAGAAGGGAAAATAAAATACTATAGAAGTCAATGGGGACCATCAACTGTTTGATTACCAGCATTCTTCAAAATATCTTCTTTTATGTTCAACTCATACAGGTTTGGAACGACATGAGGGTGAGTAAATTATGACAACATTTTCATTTTTGGGTGAAAGTTTTTCCTTCAAAATTTTACTCATTCATGTGACTTCAATTTGTATATTATATTATATATTATAGATTTTTGTATAGCATTTATGCATCTACGTTAATGGTTATATACAATATACAGTGTTGTCATTGATAAGGCTGTGAGGTTCAGTCCACTATTCACATCCGTTCTCTGCAGGTTCTTACAGAGCTCAGAGAATGGCTGTATGCTTGGCTAGCCAGATCTACCACAGGCTTGGCTAATAACACCTCAGACATGGGTGAATTACCCTCTCTGTCTCTCTCTGTGTGAGTTCCGGTCGGTCTGTGTTTCTGAGGACAGAGCTGGTTGCCCCTGGTGATGGACCAAGTCACAGAGAGTCATGCGAGGTTAGAAAGGGCTTGAGTTTGAAGGTGGGTGTGGCACTGAAAGAGAAGAAAGAGCAAGAGAAGAGTCCATGACCAAGCAGACAGACAACGCAGAGAAAAGTCAAGGAAAAAACATGGGGAAAATGCAAAACAGAGCAGCATTCCACAGTGAACGATGTTCGTGGGAAATCTTTTCTGCTTTCTTTTACCATCCCTTGTCTGTCTGAGAGTTTATCCATTGGAATAGCTAATCTAAAACCAAATCTTCAGCAAGAAATAGTGAGCTCCTTATACGGTCGGTAAAATCACTGCTGTGATGTAAGTGAAATAGACTGCTTCCTTCCCCATTTCCCTTCATCATTCTGTATTCCAGACAGCAGGCGTCCATGGAGATGCCTGCCTAAGCACTCTTGAGGTTGCTGGGCCCCGTCCTCCATGTTTGCCCTTACAGCAATCTGGCTTTACTTTTGGCTTATGGAAATGTGGCTGCGTCAGTTGTAAAGTATTCAAGAACAGGATACAAGATAAGCAGAGAGACCGTTCAAATACTTGCAGATACTTGCAGTTAAACAGCAAGGCAGCTTTGTTTAGTCTTCTCAGTATTATAGCTCATGATGTTTTCCATCTGAAACTCACAAAAATATTTGCTTCTATCCTTAATTTTGGAGAAGTCCAAGTGCACTTTTAGAGGAGGTACAGTGAAAGTGCAAGCACACTCCTATTCTCCATGGCAGTAGTCTTTAACACGCATTTGTATATCCAACTTCAGGTCAACCAGTTCATGCCAGTTTCCATCCATCTCTCTCTCTCTCTCTCTCTCTCTCTTTTCCTCTTAGGCGAACCGTTTCCATGTACCCATTACTCTACATTACTAAAAAATGCACCATAGTGTCAGAACGTCCTGCTCTGGTGCGTCTGAGGCTTTTGTGCCCTGAATTCAGCTTTTGCTGGGCTTTGTAGTTCCTGTCTTGTACTTACAGTAAACCACTTCTGTTAGACCTCTGGATCAGAGAGCTTAATGGGCCATAACTTTGGTGAACTTCCTTTTAAAATTGAAAACAGGAGAGAAAGGTTACATCAAGGAAGTGTACTGAATTGTTGCTTTTCTGAGAAATCACTCAAATCACAGTTTTTTTCTTAATGTACTGAAAAAACCTATGATTGTGTGGTCTCTTGTGTTCACCAAGTGTAAAAACAGTAATATTGTGAAATAACATTACAATTTAAAATGACTGATTTCTATTTAAATATATTTTATTATTATTTTATTGCCTTATTTTATCAATGTTGAAAATCAGTTTTGTGCTGCTTCATATGTTTGTGGAAACTGTGATATTCTTTTCAGGATCACTGATTAATAGAAAGTTTAAAAAACAGCATTTTTGAAATGATTTTCAGAATGATTTTCAGAAATCATTTGTAGCATTATAAATGTCTTCACTGTCACTTAAAACATATGAATTTTTTTTTTAAAGCCCACTTATCTTTTAAATGGTTACTTGTAGATGGTGCTGTATCACAGTTACCACAAAATAAATAAATAAATGCATTCATTGATAAATAAATAAATTAATTTAAATTAATCTGTAAATAAACAGTTTTCAACACTGATAATAAAATGAAATATTTCCTTAAAACTTTAAAACACCAAACTGGTGTTGGGAATGCTTTTGTTTTTTAATGTACACATTTATTTATAGATTGTAATAAATGTATTTATTTTCTTTTTAATGAGTCCATAAGGAAGGTTTGCTGTTAGGAATTTGGTGTTCTTGCAGTTCACATGTCCAGATGTCCAAACCCAGAGCAGTAGTACACAGACGAATAGTTCAGAAGACAAAAACTCTTGTTCCAGTGCACTTCCTTGTTTGTTTCGTTGATTAAAACTCACATTCCATCAGTAAATTTCCACTTCATCAGTCTGCGCTCTATTAGGTAACATTACACATCAGGAATGAGGGTCTTTCTTTAGGGATTGTAGGCTGTAATTTCACATCTGGATGTAAACAGAGAAGAGTTACAATTAGATACTTAAATGACCCCTAATTTTTGCACAGACATCATCGTAAACATCCTGTCGTTAAAATAACTTATAGTCAACGATATGTTATCATGTACAATTGATGTAATCAACTCATTACCTTCCACTTCATTTAAATGGTTCCTGGACTCCTGCATGAAAATTGCTTGTGTAGTGTTGCTGAAATTTACTCTGATTTTTTGTACGGGTTTTAAAAAGTCACAGGGATATTTCAAATTGTTAGAATCACTGGACCACTGTTATGTCTACTTGCTTTTCTGGCTCACTCTTTGAGGCATGACTATTCAGTTCATTCGGTCTTTACAAACAGTATTTCAGTGGATCTAGCAGGTGGTCTTTTATTAATTTATTTCAGCCTGTCTCACTTAGAAACCATCTAGCTGCTAAAAAACATTTCCTTTCACTAGGCTGTTTAGCTAAACACAGTCTATATTGTGCTCTGTGTGTAGTTTAAGGGCTGCCCAGAGACAGGTGCATAAAGATGACCTTAGTGGAGATGGATGTACTGGTAAAGAGATGCTCATGTTTAGAAAAGGGTAGTTAGTCTGTTCGGTGACTCGTCAGAATTCTGAGCACATACAAGAGCTCCCAAAGACTCCAAAGATCTGAATCATGCCAGCTGGATGTAGCACTGGGTTGCCAAATCCTCTGTCTGGGAAGCTCTCGAGTAACCTCTGATTCAGAAAGGCTTGTGAAAATGCAAAACCACACATAAAGCGAAGTAAAACAAATAACAATGTTATTCAACACAAATTATAAGTCTGCAAAGTCTCATCGTTTAAAGAATAAACACACCCTCCAAAGACTGTGCTGTGGGTCTGCAGTGAAAATTTGTTTACTGCGCTGTTTGAGCATTTTGTTGTTTTTTTCTAAAGAACTGCAGGCAAGCCTTTCTGTCTTTGTTCCATTCAGTCACATGCCTTTAAAACCAGGGTTTTAAACCAGAGGTCTACAAAAGGGATCTGTGGAGTAGATGACTAAATATATAAATATATACATAGAATCTTCTTTAAAAGTGTTAAATATTTGTTAATTGGTTAACCTATGTATGCCCTAAATATATTCTTATGGGACAGTTCCTATAACTCTATTGTAATTCGGTGGGGGGGCACACACACATAAATAAATAAAACTGTAAATATAACCATACAGTTTTTACATGATGTATTATGTAATGTAATAATGTCAACGTTCTAATAAATGATAGTCTTTATAAAGTATTAGCAAAAATATATACCTCTTGGTGGGGGTTCCTGGTCCTGAAAAGGCTGAGAACCCCTTTTTAAAGCATTTTTTTTTTCTTCATTTGAACAGATTAAAAATCACCAAATTTAGTGCCTTAATGCCTATTACAATAGCTGTTCAAATTTTGCACTCAAACTGTTTGATTTTAGAAGGCTCAAAAAATTCAGTGAGTGTGAATTCTCACAATCTGGCAGAGGCACAAAGAACTTTCTCTCGCTCTTTCTCATTTTCTCGCTTTCTCACACAAGGCAGTGTGTCATTTTCCCCTATGAATGTCCATGAACTTACACTGGAACAGAATGCAGTTAAATTAAATGACATAAATTAGCTAAATTGCTGTACTGGAAATAAATGTTTGCGTCTTTCATTTCAACACAAAGTTCTTATGTTGTGGTATGTCACAGTTCCATTTGACTTTTATAATGCTGTTCTTTGACTTTGTTTCTATATATTGTCTCACTCTCTCCCTCTGTTCGGTCTCAGATCAGCGATGTTCCTGCATGTACTGCTGCGTGCCATCTGCCTCTTTGTCTTGTCATCTTCTGCCGTCCTCAGTCCTGCAGCAGGTGTGTCTCACCTCTACTGTTCAACACACAAAATATAATTAACGATAAATAACAGTAAAGGTCATAGATAGATAGATAGATAGGTCATAGAAGCTCTTAGAGTCCAGTTACAGAGTATGTTGTACTTTTATTGCCCAAGTGAATGCACACGTTGGAATATAAAAAAATCCAATTCAGTTCAGTATTAAACTGTCAGTTGATTAGTATCTCAATCATTCTTGTCTTTTCCTCAGATGAGACCACATTCTTACAAGTGACCATTCCCGATAGCCCCCCAGTGTCTGCCATTTTGGGGGGCTCCTTGACTCTGCCCTGCCTGGTGAGTCTCTCCCGGACCCCGTCTTTGGGCCGACATGCTGTACTGACCCAGCCACGAGTCAAATGGAGCTTTCTTTCATCAAACAGAGAGACAGAGATCTTAGTGGCCCGTGGTGAGAGGGTAAAGGTGAGTGAGTTGTATAAAGGCAGGGCATCACTGCTGAATTATGCTGCCTCTTCAGCTGATCTCACCCTCAGACTGGATGAACTGATACACAACGATACAGGCTTCTACCGCTGTGAAGTCCAGCACGGCTTGGAGGATGCTCATGACCAGGCCCAAGTCAAAGTAAAAGGTGATTATGTAAACTACTTTGTGCAAAGATCACTGGCAAACCTAGATTGTCTTGCCATATTTAGTCAGTGTTTTGCACACACACGGACTACCATTCAAACTTTTGGAATTGGAAAGATTTCAATATTTAAATAATTCTTTACCAAGGCTGCATTTATCAGTTTATTTACAGTAAACTGAGTAATATTGAGAAATCGTATTACAATTTTTTTTTTTTTATTTCTCCAGTTGAATGTATTTTATATATTTAATGTAATTTATGCTTGCCATTTTCAGCAGCAATTACTCCAGTCGTAAGTGTCACATGATCCTTCAGAAATCATTCTGATATGCTTGCTGATTTGGTGCTCAAGAAATATTTATTATTGTTGAAAACAGTTGTGCTGCTTAATATTTGTGGAAAAAAAGCTTTTTAAAACAAACAAAAAGTACTATCTGGATGTCACGATGTGGGTTAGATGAGGCATACAGAGAAGGGGTAATCCAAAGGAGAGTCTTTAATTATCAATCCAAGAGTTTAACAGGAATAAAACGCCACAACGTAACTTTAAAGCAAGACAAGGGAACTGAGGAAAACACAGGCTTATAAACACAGGGAATGTGATAAGGCAGAACTGAAACAGGTGGAGAACTAAATCAAAACAGGTGAACAGAATAGACTAATCAGGGAACAACGGAAAACTGGGTCAAGGCAGGATGCACAGAAACGTAGGGGATACACAAAAAAAACAGAACATAAACGTGACATAAATGTGACACTGGAACAGTAGGCTACTATATATTTATATTTACAGTATAAATAAATATAAAATAAATTCAATATAAATTTTGCAAATTGAACACCATGTGATCCCATCTTTTGGACAGTCTTGTATAGTAACTTGCCACAAGTATCATAACATGACCGTTTTGTTCAAAAGTAGTGTTTTAATAAGACACATGTTTTCCAGCCTAGAAAATGGCAAATAACACTTCATAACAGTTCAAAAACTATGATATATGAGAACAGTGACATGCTGTGTGTTCTTAGGTGTCGTCTTCCATTATCGCCATACCTCAAGTCGCTATGCCTTCACTTTTGATGAGGCCAAAGACACGTGTGAAGATATTGGAGCTCAGATTGCTTCTCCAGAACAGCTGATGTCTGCGTACCGCAGCGGTTATGAGCAGTGTGACGCTGGCTGGCTTTCAGATCGCTCCGTTAGGTGAGTGAACAGACACATCAAATAACCAACTACTGAGAATGTCCTATATATACTTGCAGTAAATGTGATGCAGACCACTTTCTAGGTACTAGCAATTTGTCTATTCACACGTAAAGCAACAAAATCACAGTCTGTCAGAACATATTTGCCATTTAATATTTGGAATGGATTTCTGGATTGGGGGCGGAGCTAAATATTGTCTTGTTGCAGTGCTTAGAATAGGATATAAAAACAAAACCAGTAATTAGATTGGTTAAGCTTAGTTGGGTTTGACTAATAACAAAAATACATCTATCTTTAGGATTCATTAAAATGTTTTTATACTATCCCTATGGCTTCTTAGATACCCAATCCAGATGCCACGTGAAGGGTGTTTTGGAGACATGGATGGATTACCAGGCGTTCGAAACTATGGCATGATGGATAATGATGAACTATATGATGTGTATTGCTATGTGGAGAACATTCATGGTAAACCACTCCCATATCATTGCTAATATTATACTCTTGCAATCAATGCTAACTGTGCTCCAAACTATTGATATTGGCAAGCAGTCCATATTCAAAGAATGTACTCTGTTTACGATGACTTGTTTGTGATTGTCAGCAAAAGTTGGTTGTTCATTCATTGATGTAACTGTTTTTAGGAGAGGTTTTTCATGGGTCATCCCCACAGCGCTTCAACTTGTCAGAAGCTAAGACATACTGTGAGCAGCAGAGAGCTCAGCTAGCCACCACTGGCCAACTCTATGCCGCCTGGAATGATGGTCTGAACCACTGCAGTCCTGGTTGGCTTGCTGATGGAAGCGTTCGCTACCCCATTGTGACCCCTCGTGAACGGTGTGGGGGTTCTGAACCTGGTGTCAAGACAGTTTATCGTTTTAGCAATCAAACGGGATTCCCCCCACAGACTCGGCATGACGCTTACTGCTTCAGAGGTATTTACAGATATGTTTTAATTTGAGTTTTTCTAAAAGTTCACAAAACTGTCTTAAGATAACCAAGGTTCAAACTGGAGTCCAGGGATGCCCAAGGGGGTCTGTGATCAAATTTCAGGGGGAAAAAAAGCATTTTTGGGGCTGTATGCTAAAGATTTGATAATATTTTTCATACATTATATAAATTGATTTTTTACATGATATCACTGGAATACTTGGCATCAAAAAGTTTGAAAACTCCTGACCTATACTATCAATCCCATACAATATAGGATAGGGATAGTTAACCCAAAAATGAAAATCTGTCATTAATTACTCGCCCTCATGTTGTTCCAAACCTGTAAGACCTTCGTTCATCTTCGGAAAATAAATTAAGATATTTTGATGAAATCCAAGAGGTTTCATTCTGACCCTCCATAGACAGCAGCGGAACTGCCACGTTCAAGGCCCAGAATCGTAGTAAGAACATTGTTAAAATAGTCCATGTGACATCATGTGTGTGCATTCCTCTGCTTGTAAACAAGGCACATCCGGGTTCTACGTCAGAACGCCGACTCCTGTGTCGGCAGCACCACATGCATATGTCATGGTACTATCATGAATGGTGGCGGAGACTGACACAGAAGAGAAGAAATTGTTGAATAAAGTCTTTTTTTTTATTATTTGCACACAAAATATTCTCGTAGCTTCATAAAATTAAGGTTGAACCACTGATGTCACATTAACTATATTTACTAACGATGTCCTTACTACCTTGCTGGGCCTTGAATGTGGTAATTCCGTTGGTCTTACGGGTGTAGAACGTCATGAGGGTAGTTTAGAGTAGTTTATGACAGAATTTTCATTTTTGGGTGAACTATCCCTTTAACCTTTGATCAATGGTATCTCTAATATTCTTCCTCTGCAGCTAACAGCAACTCTCAAACAGTCTCACCTATAGATCATATGGCAACAGAGCCAGAGGACACCGAGCAGCATATTGCGACTTTAGCAGTTCCTCAAGAGGAGTATAGTGTGGATCAGATCGCTCAACAGTCAGAAAATGAAGCACAGGGGGCTGTAGAGTCCTTCTCCATTTACAGCACACAGACTACTTCAGAACCAGAGAAACACAACCACACTACAAGCCCTCAGTTAGATGAAGATAGCACCTATAGAGACTCCACCACCCCAACCAGCACAGAGAGATATCTTGAGTCCACTGAGGTCACCTGGCAAAAAGTTGAGTCTGTTCCAGAGATTTACATAGATCCAAAACACATTGATTTCACACAAAAAGGAGAACCAGATATAAAAGCTTCAGCAGTTGATGGTGTTAAAAGCAGTAATCATAGACACTACCAACCAATGCCAGATACCAACCTACAGCCGGGAGAGCCCATCAATTTCATCCCACCTGCAGAGGCTCAGCCTGAGACAACAGAGGAACCGTCCTCTCAACCGAAGGAGATAGATGGGTCCAAACACTTCCAACCCATGCCTGAAACCAACCTGGAGGATGAGGATAAAGATCATGTGACTAGTGAGATCTCCATGACCACTGAGGATACTACACTGGAATTTCACATGACACTCCAGTCAAGTCCCTCAACATACCTACCTGAAGGTGCTACAGTAGAAGAAAATGCAGGGAATATCACAGAAACTCCAGAGCCAGATGAAGACTGGGGTCTTTTTACACACACAACTCAGTCCACATCAACAAGCACATCCAGCACTGAAGGTTGGTTGGAGGGTTCCGGTGAGGATTTGACCTTGTTATTCACACAAAAGGCCGAACATCTGGTCACCTCGCATAATTCAGAGACATATGGAGCATCTACACCTGAGACTATGACAGAGAGCTTCTCATTAACACATCTGAACAGTATTAGCCCAAGTAAGTAAAAAGAAACAATATGCTTATACAGTGTATCAGCAAATAATAATTTTGTGAGCTTTTTATTAACCAAAAATGTAACAAAATGCGTGCCATTCAGAACTGAATTGAGAATGCCTTTTAAATTGTTTAATTATAAAAAGTGGTATTTAAATTAATTGGAATTCAAAGAGATATGCATTTGAAAAGTTTTAGGAAACAGCCTTGAACTTTGAAGGTTTGTAGGCCTTACAGACAGAGAGAATGATTTAAACGATGGTTGAATGGATAGACAGAGAAAAACTAATAATTGTGGGTCATACTTTATTTTAATGCCCAATTCTCGCCATTAACAAACCATTAACTATGACTTTTGCCTCAATAAACTCCTAATTTGCTGCTTTTTTAATAGTTAGTAAGGTAGTTGTCAAGTTTAGGTATGGGGTAGGATTAGGGATGTAGAATAAGGTCATGCAGAATATGTGCTTAATAAGCATTAACAAACAGCCAATATGTTAATAGTAGGCATGCTAATAAGCACTAGTTAATAGTGAGAATTGGTCCCTATACTAAAGTGTTACCAAATTATGAATAAATTGCCATAGATAAACTGTAAATCACCAACTGTTGAGAAAATTCCATATCCTGATCGTGTTTTGCCTTATAAATTACAATTAAATTGTTGTGTTTGATTTGTTCACTTGCAGCTTTTACACCCAGACATGAAGACACTTCTGCAGACCATCACAATGCTGAGGAGACCTCAACTGAGACTCTTCCTGTGTCTCTTGGTGCAGTTGATGATGGCAGTGATTATTCGACCGTGAGCATGACACCGAAGGAAACCGAATCTTCTGAAAGTTCTGGCGAACGTGAAGACATCCTGCCAGTCACACTCTTGACCACCCCAACGCCTCACCTGTTGGGCACATCAACCACACATGGACCTGTACAGGTAGAAATCAATTCTCCACAGGAAATGGAAGGTGTCCTCTCTGAAAGCACAACTCCATCTGGCCTTGGGATTGTGGAAGAAGAATTGGAGAAGGTGGAGCAGGTTGGGCTTGGAGAGGAACCTAATCAACGAATAACCACATCCACTGAGCTTAATAATTCTACTGTAACTTTCAGCATTGATGGCAGTGATGAGGATGAGGATGAGTCTTCCGGAGAAAGAGAACCTTCAGGAAACAGGTCTTCAGTTATTAAGCATCCATACTCAGATGTGGCCACCATCACTCCCTCTAATCTGACAGATATGCAAGACCTTAATGAAACAAATAGTGATAATGATGATAATCAGGCCAGCACTGTGGGATCCATGAAAAGTCTGGAGGTTACATTTCTTCCTCATGGGACCCAAAGTCCCATCTGGCAAACTGTGGCGTCTTCCACAAACCCAGGAGAGTTCAGAGCAGATGTTGAATTCAGTGGGGAAGCGGCACTTACCACAGATGACATCAAAGCCTTAGATGAATCTGACTCCACCAATGCACCCATCAATGAGAAGACAACGCAAACCCAAAAACCATCCACTACGTCAGCCATCAACGAAGATGATGATGATGACGATAATGATTATGAACTCATGACTAAAGCAAACACAGACAATACGGAAGATGAGAATGATGTCACAACCACACCTGAGTCTTCCACTCTGCCTGCCAGACCCACACAGAGAGTGCTGGTCAGGACAGGCTACATTTCAGGTAAACATATTGCAGTATATATATTGTCTCAATTTCCAGACTGCAAGTTATATTTTAAAAACTGCCTGTCTGTCTGTGCTGTAGTAGTTTTTCGATCATTTACAAGGAGGAAAATTAAGAAAAGTTTTTTTTTTTTTTTAATGTGGGCATTTAGAAAGAAAACAACTTGCCTAAAAGTATTTCAGTGCTATTTAATGATGAATAAACTATAGCTAGTTTTAAAAGTACATGGTCAAGCCCCTTAAACCACTTATTTTAGTATTATTTATATACTTTTATAGTATATACTTTAAATGACCTTTTTTCAGTTTTCATTTTAATTTATTTAATTTTTAGTTATTTTACATGTTTTTTTATATTTCTATTTAGCTTTAGGTCATTTTTATTTCAGTTTTAGTTTTAGTCATTTTAATACTTCAGCTTATTTTATTTCAAATAGCTGACAAGGCAACATTTTAAGTTCTAACTAATTTTTTTCGTGTAATATTTGTATTTATTTCAGCTTCATTTCACTTGCCAATTCAGATAACATTTTTTAATCATTTTAGTTTTGGTTAATTACAACACTGCCTTAAACATCTAGGAGTGATAGCACCATCTATTGGTTGTTTAAATTTCTTGAGCAAACCAGATGCTCTCAGAAGGGGGCGCTCTTTCCCTCCAAACACTGTCAGATACATCTCTTTAAAATACCTGGTAACTTGATAACTGACATGCTGCACCAACTGATTAGCACGTCTATCAAAGAGTACAGTGCAGACAGATAGAGACAGAAAGAATTTATCCAAAGTGTGTAACCCCCATCACAACAAATAGTTGCAGTCATGCATGAAGGAAGAGTTTTGTTTAGTGGGGCCATGATGACTAGAAACTGATAACAGTACAACTGGAAAGAAAGGGCAACGTATCCGGTGCTGCTACGGCATGTTTTATGTAGATAGAGGTTAACAGAACCAATCAGGGATCAAGATTTAGCCTGTTTTTGATCGAGTTGTGGTCCACAAATTATAAGCCATACTCTTAGTGTAAGTGTAGCTATTACTGCATAGTTGCACCACCCTGTGTTTGTTGAGTATAACCATACTTTATTTTAAACCCTTCATTTATGTGCAATATTTTTATAGTCCGCTATAAAAACATGTGAATGGCCTTTTAGATGCATGTCTTGAGAACCCTTGTAAAAATGGAGGCACCTGTGTGGACAGTGGAGCGGGTCATAGGTGTCTCTGTCTACCCACTTATGGAGGAGACTTTTGCGAGACAGGTGAGTTACCTGCATATCTCATTATACTTCTACACTATAATACCTTTTATATACTTTATATATATATATATTACCTGTTTATTCTGCGATTCTTTAATATTTTACATGAATAAAATTTATGAAAGTAAATTTAGATCTATGAATCTTAATGAAAATTTAAATTAATATATTTATATATATATATGATATGTACAGTATA